AACGCTTTGTATAGATTAGACGGTTATCTTTTGTATCTGCAGACATGAATTGGCCTCTCCGCATCAAATATGAGACTTGTATCGAAGGTTCTCATGCATAAGTCTTCCGATAGAATGCCTTGAAACATTGAATTCCTTAGCGATGTCTTTAATTGACTTTCTGGAGTTCTTAACAATAATGTTTTGCACTTTTCGTACAAATTTGGGTATTCTGATGGTAATAGGAGCCTTAAAAGGCCTTTTTCGTTTAGCTACAGCTGTAGAATACTCGTTAGCGACTTCCAGCTTTTTTTTCGAGTTTTGACAACGAATAACCGTGTAATTTTCGGGAGGCGAACAATCTTTAAATCACAATGCTCTTCCTTTAAGGCGACCATTAGAGCGTGCCTTTTAATTTGTTGAGTTAGTTTGATGTTTGTCATCATTTTTATGAAAAAAATGTTAAGCAGAACAACTTTGAAAAAAGTTAGAGCTATTAAGACATGTCCCCAAAGAACTGAGCAACAATATATATATATATATATATATATATATATATATATATATATATCAAGAGGGGGAGGGAGAGAGAGAGATGGATGGATGGATGTGCGAGTAGTATAAGTAGACGGCTCGGAAAGAGATATCATCGAGTTGCGTTCGAATTTCGGCCGAGATTTTTGCATTCACATCGCACGAGAAACAGTGGGAAAGTTATGCATCCATCCATCTACTTTGTGTTATGAGTTAACGGACGGTGCAGATCGTGTTCTCTGGCTTTTATTGGCAACCAGTTTAAGAGAAGGATAACTCTCAATGCAAAACCTGGTAAGAGTTGTTTGGATAAGAGAGGACAGGTGCACAGTGTCACACTGTGCACAGACTGTCCTCTCTTATCAACCCTTCCGAAAAGTGTAGCGGATGGTTTTCTAGTTCTATATAAACATTTACCACTGGTGGTTCAATTCTAAGAACTAAATTGTTTGGTACTTATATGTCGAGATCGACGAGAGAGTCCACTATGTGTGTGTATGTGCCTGTGTGCGCCCGTATGTACGTATGTAATCCCCAAGGATTACATACACACACCAATATCTATTAACATTACTAAATATAAAGACAATATAATAACGAAAAGGTGATTGCGCCTTTTTAAGTTTCTGTTCTTTTCAGCACAACATCAGCTGCGTTTTTTTTTCTACTTGACGATCTACGTGATCTCGTATTTCCCAAGATGCTTAAACAATAATAACAACAAACACTAGCTAAAAAGGACTATTTTCATAAGAATAAATAATAATGATAATAACTGCAGCGATGATTACACCAATGATAAATTATTAAGAATTAAATATCGAGAAATAATGAAATTCGAATTCAAATCTAATATAAAATTTTGAAAATGAAAATAGGTTTTACGGTTATCTTTATGAAGAATAAATAAACGAATATTAGCAAGTAACAATGATGACAATGCTGATTTATGATTAAATAATATAGCACGACTTAAACAATACAAATTTGCATTGAACTTCAGTTCAGGTGACCATCATTGCGTCAAGCAATTCTCTACGGCATCTGTACAGATTTTACCAGCAAGGATATTAGGTAAAGACATTTCCAAAATTATCATTTGACGATAATAATCGTTAACATTATCATTATTCTGCACTTCACCATTGCAATCAATAATGTATATCAAAAGATTTCTGTAATCGACGATTATTCAATGTACAGACATATTTCTTATCATTATTTTCCTTATCTTTAAAAAGGACTTGAGTGTAAGTAAGTGTTTTTATCCGACTGTGCGCATATATGACTGTGCCCGTCTTGTAAGCTACAGGTCTATGAACATATATAAATATTCTGTATAGTAGTGAATAAATAAAATTTCAATGATTTATACACTGAATCAGGGTTTCCAGACATAGATCCGCTCACCAGGGTCAGATAAATCTACCGAATTTATTAACTGTATCACATCTATTTGGAATGCATTACATAAAATAAAACGTTAATTATTGACATCAATTAAATTAAAAAAAAAATATATATATATGCGTCTGTGTGTATGTGTGTATGTGTGTGTGCGTGAAATGCATTGTATAATATTGTATTTATATATGTTTATGCATATACATATCTGTTTATGTATCTATCTCTTGATAGATAGATAGATAGATAGATAGATAGATAGATAGATAGATAGATAGATAGATAGATAGATAGATAGATTTACACACTTGTACACTCTATCTATCTATTTAACTCATACACAGACAAAAATTCACACGCACATATTTAGAGAATTATCTCCATCTCTTTGAGAAGTAGTTAAAAAGTGCTTATAGGAAACATGAAAAATCAGGTTTCGACTGGAATACAAGAACATTGTCAATCGAAGAGAGACACAAATTAAAAATGATATTGACTTGAGTCTTTATCTGAAGATGTTGATAAGCATCCCAAAAGAAAGAAATAAAGGGAAATGCCTAGGTAAAATATAAGCATCCCGGAGATGAAGAAAGCGGAGCAGTGTTTCAGTCATCCCAACAGAGCGACACAAACGGAAAGAGAAGAGTACGATATCGGCGCCGGCGCTGGTGACGACGCCAGATGTGGCCTCCTTCTCGCGCGCCAACTTCCGTCGGTGCCGGTCGCACAACTCGGCAAATGAATGAACGTAAAGAGGAAGAAAAAAGAAAAAATAATGAACAGAAAAGAAAAACACCAAAGATGAACACACAGAATTGAAACAAAGTTAAAAAAAAACAAGGCAAGTATAGAAAATAGATATGAGAATAAAACTAAAAACATAAGTATTAATTATAAGATACAAAACAAAAGATATATAAAAAGATGATATTTATAATATAGCCATCATCAATATATAAATCAAATATTTATATCTATCAGAAGAAAAAAAATTAAAATCATTATGAAAATATGTATATGTTGTAACCTAGGAAGGCTTACTGAATGGTGAATAACCAAAACGGAGGTTGGAAATGAAATGTTAATGTCAACAAAATACAATACTCGCCAGCGGCGTGAAGTAGGTAAACCACTACTTGTGGTGGACTACTTAGACAGCATCTTACCCCCACTTACAAAAGTGTTCAACGTATTTATAAGGATTGGGACATACCCATTAGCGTTCATAGGTACGTTTAAACCTGTAGAAAAAGACTGTATGTATAAAGGTAAAAGACAATAGGAAAATTATTTTATTAACCAACGAGTTTCGTCCAATGTGGACTTTTTCAAGGCAAAAAGGAACTGAATTTATTTACTCAAACCACTCTTCTAAAATTAAATCTGGAATTATTATAGATTTCTATCAGAGAGCATTAAGAATCTGCAGCCCCCCCACACACACCTAAAGAAGAAACATACATAGAAAACACATTCAAAAACCTACAATACCCATATCGTTTCATTCACAACGCAAGAAGAAAGGCATACAAAATATACAACCGAAACAAAAATAATAGCATAATCCGTAATAATAAATTACATGAAAGTAGCATTATTGGCATAATACTACTGATCAATTCCGTCACGTTCACTATCCAGAACAACCTATCCCATCTAAATAATCTTAAAATAATCACAAACACTTCCAAAACCATTATGGCTTTAATCAGATCCTCAAGCACTAATAGCCATAATATTTCTGAAGCAGGCATTTATAAAATACTAGCAGTAGAGCCCGGCTTTGCCCGGGGATATAACAGTAAGAGATAGATCAAGTATCCACCATCATAAAGACTGAAAAATAAAATTGACAAAGATTATTGTTTAAGGTTGACGGATACGCATGTCTTAATTAGTTTTTTTTTTTTTTTTTTTTTTTTTTTACGAATTGGTCAAACCCAAACTCAAACAAAAACATTGTTTTCAATCGTTATGAGTCTCTACCGATTGAATAGAATTTTATTATAAACAATTGTCTTGTAAATGGAATTTTTAAAGCATTCTGAGTGTAAAAATAAAGAAAAAAGTGCGCAAGACAATAAGAAACACTACATGCCAAGTTTTGTTGAAATCGGTTGGAAAATGTAGGTAGCCTTTCTGTAATATTTTAGTTTTACAATTTATGATTTTTACTCATTGAATACAGTAAAAAAAATGCATATTTTGCTTGTGGTGATTCATAATTAGAATTCTGATTTGAATATATTTTCCACTCGTTGTTTCTAATACAAAAAATATTAACTTTATTTGGGTTTATTAATTATGATCTAACAAATCTTATTCATTTAGTAGCCTTTCTGTAATAATAATCTTTTACAATTTATGATTTTTACTTATTGAATATAGTAAAAAAATTGGATACCATGTGTATTTAAAGTAGTTTCCGGTTATTATTTTTAGTTAGGACTTGTGTATGTTTAGATTTCATTTTCTTTCCCTAAAGATAAAGAATTATCCGATGTTTGGATTCATACAATCATTAGAGATCGTTAGATTATTGTTTAAGGCTGACGGACACGCATGTCTGAATTATTTTTTTATTTTTTTACGAATTGATCAAACTCAAACAAAAACATTGTTTTCAATCGTTATGAGTCTCTACCGATTGAATAGAATTTTATTATAAACAATTGTCTTGTAAATGGAATTTTTAAAGCATTCTGAATATTAAAAATAAAGAAAAAAGTGTGCAAGAGGATAAGAAACACTACCTGCCAAAAAAAAAGTGAATTTTTGTTTTATCGGCTGAAAAATGTAGGAAATCCGATCCCATATATAAAGGAACACACACACACAAACAACCTGGGTTTTTTAACCCGATGTGGATTGTCCCCCTTTCATTCTCACGATGTCTCTTAATCGTGTTTTCAAATTGATTTTGTGCAAAAACAATTGTATTTTCCCCTTTTTGTCGCTGTTAGAAACACCACAAGATAATTTTATGTAGTCCTGTGAAGTTTTGAAATCGGTTGAAAAATGTAGGAAATCCGATCCAATATATAAACGTTACACACACACACACACACACACACACACACACACACACACACACAAAATCTGCGTTTTATAATAAGTAAGATAATAAATTGTTTGTTCCCAATATATTGGAGAAACAAGGAGAAATTTAAAAAAAACGCATCTATGAGCACAAAAGAAACCTCACAAAAAACAACTTAACTAATGCACTAGTCATACATAGAAATAAATTCAACCACAATTTTAATTTTAAAAATACTCATAAAAAAAGAAAATAACTCACTTAGAAGGAAAATCCTCAAAAAATATTAATCTACCCCCAGATTTTTTCCCAATGTCACCTTTCCTAAAAGAAGCCAACGTACACAATTGTATCAAGAAATCAAAGACAATGGCTGAATCCGTCAGCACAACGATAAAAAACAATATTTCCAAACGTGATAGTCAGTCAGTTATGTGCGATGCGTGATAGACGCTTAAGCGATCATGTATCTTTCGATACATGACTGACGAGACAATTTTTTTCCTGCAGTAGGTTTCCAAGGGTATTAGTAAGTAAATGTAATGGATTCGACTGGAATTCGAACTCGGTTCTCTGCTTCCTCAATCCGAGCCGCTATCCACTGTGCCTCCTTACGCGTAATAGTACTTGATGTAATTTGTCAATATGACGACAATAGCGTTTTCTAAATTGTTCTAGTTGCTAAAGGTATTTTGTTTCTTGTTAACAGTTACTTTGTTTTCAATAAATCATTTCGTTTTTGCCTTGAAAAAGTCCACATTGGACGAAACGCGTCGGCTAATAATACATTTTTCCGATTGCATTTTACCTTTATATATATATATATATATATATATATATATATATAGAGAGAGAGAGAGAGAGAGAGAGAGAAATGTGTTGATATGCCGACATAAAAACAAATTCAAATTTCCATAATATAGTTTTAACTTAATTAGCTACTATATTTCCATAATATTCACTCCCCTCAAACTCTTCAAATGTTGAATATATAACTAATTCTAATTTCTATATTTCCCCCCCTCTATATCCTCTTTACCTATATTAATTATAATTTATAAACCTTCCTCTACTCTAAGATCTCTCCAACTCTCTTTCCATTAATTCTTAGATCCTTTTATCTATATATTTTAAGTTATTTCTAAACCCCCTTTTTTCCTCCTTTAATTTTAAATTAATATTTCATTCTCCATATAACACCAAATTAATGTTATATGGTTAATATTTGGGTTTAACTTTATAAAACTTCTTCCTTTTAAGACAATTACCTTCCACCCTCCCCTGACCCCTGTCTCGTGCCTTTTGTCTGAATGAGACATGGATAAATTTTGTATAAGTTTTTCGACTTTTTTTTTCACAGTTAAATTTCTATTTCTGACACGAACTCAGTCCACACAGGGATAATACAGACGATCGATACCTTCGTCTGCCAAAATAGGCTATTCCCCATATGAGGTGATTGGGGATTTTATTGTTTATTAATTATTTGCTCTGTAATAATAAATACATTGAGCTTTTTTGTGGATCAGTTTTAATAGGATCCATTTGGATTATATACCAACGGATTTTTTACATTCACTATATATATATATATATATATATATATATATATATATATATATATAGTGCGCATCAAAAAACTTTTACAAATTTGGAGGCGAGAGTTCCTCACGCCAAAACAAGGACAAAAGTCCATATAAATGCCGTAAATCCTTCGTTTTTGAGGTATTGAGTTTGAAGTGTACGATAAACGCTGTTAAATGTACAATCCAAGATACAATCCAAAAATATATCGGGGCGGATTCCTGACACTAAAACAAGGTAAAATGTTCATATAAGCATATGTTTAAAAGGTCAAAAATGTCCTCCGCTTACGTCTACACACGCATGCATCTGTCGGGTCATTGACTGGCAGACCCTTTCAAGTACACAGTGTCGAATGGTTTCGATGGCCCCCATGACACGTTCATGAAGCGTCTCTGCGCTATAAATGTCTGCTGCACTGACCAATTTTTTAGGTGGCGCCACAGATAAAAATCCAAAGGATTGAGGTCGGGGGAACGTGCAAGGCCATGTGAGCAGTCCTCCTCTATCTATCCATCTTTCATGGACTGTATACGAACTTTTGTCCTTGGTTTGGTGAGAGGAACTCGCCCCCAAAGTTTATACAAGTATTTTTGATACACCCTGTACACACACACACACACATACATATATATATGTAATTATATTGATTAAAATTTGCTATATTTATGGGGAAGTTTCCTTAATATTGGGAATAAAATGCTTGTAGATATAAACATTGCAGACAATCTACAGTTTATATATAAAGATATGGGTGATATGATATATGAATGTTTATATATCAGCACAATGTTAGTCAAATAAATGGCAAAATAAAAAAAATGTATGTGTTACGCGTTTAAAGTAACTTGTGTTGATGAAATTATAATATGTGTAAGATGAAGAGTGGGAGACAAAAACAGAAGCGACGATACCACTAGTAAAAGCTGAACATGTCAGTCCACTGAAATTTAAAATTTTAATTTTAACTTGTTTTTTAGAGAAACAGAATTATATCGGTTAAACTACATGTTCAGATTCATTTTAGAAAGAAAAAAAAACACTCATACAGATATCTATGTTAATTTTTATCTGCAGCTACCTATTC